CTTGGAATCAGGGATAAGATCTCTTGGGAAAACTAACCAGGAGAGCACCAAGAATGGTAATAAAGGGAAACGGATACATTGGCTTTGCTGGCTACATCTGTGTCACTCTGGAGCAGGGATGTGCCATTTCAGGCAGTCCCAGCATTAACTCAGCAGCTACAGGTGTACAGAGCTGTACCATCCTGATGTGTGGTTTGCTTTAGAACAAGAATAAATCCCTCTCTAACAGTAGCCTGCTGTAAGAAATGCTATCCCAAGAAATTGTGTGCTGTCGTGTGTATGGTGTCTGCCATCCTCTCTGATCAGACCAAAAAAAAAACCCCAATGTGTCATATTGTGCCTTATCCTAAGCAAGAATCTGACTTACAGTACTAAATGCAAATATATTTAGTGGAGTTACTCTTTCTCGTGTGCTTTTGAACCAATGAATAATGCTTACATTTCAGGAGGTGTAATCACTGACCTAGATTAGTAGCCTGCAAAGTGTCATTGTTAAATTAAAGACTGCCTTCTTTCCCCGCTAAGGAAGGCAAAACAGCTCTTGGAAGAAGGAGGAACATTCTGCTGCCCAGTTTTCCACCTCCAGCTGTTGAAATCTGAAAAGCAGTTGAGTAGAGGTGTTATAAAAGGGACCTAGTGGGTGCAGCCTGAAAAGGGGGAAAACAGTCTGATAGCTGCCTTGTAGAGGTTTTCCACCACTCTGAATCAGAGGGGTGGATCTGCAGTCTACGAAAATTGAAGCTTCTAGCAAATATTTTGTTTTCTATTCACTTATTTGTTTAAACAGTCTTTGTAATGGCAGTTACATTCAAGTGTATAACAATCTTGTTGAGAAGCCCTTATTCTGCAAGAGACTGAAATCCACAGAGGATGGAGGATGATTCAAACCACTTTGCTCTGTAGAGCAAAGTATATATTTGTGTTCCAGTGTTATTTTACAAAATGCTTGGTACATTTTATATCAACGTTTACTGGTACAACAAATAAATATGCTACTATGGATGTGTAGTGGCTGTAGGAAAATATAAGAGGACTTAATTAGACTAATATTTTGTGTCCATTTCTCACCTTTACACATTCTAACTCTGCTAGTCTGTTCCTCTGGAAGGAAGGTGCAAGACCTCTGTCTTTAATTGGATAGCAAAGACTGTGAGATAGCTGATAAACTTTCAAGGTAATCTTAAATGGTTCTATGTGTAAAAGAACAGGATGTGAATTTTAGGAAGAGAGATGGGTGTTGATGTTGTGTGAGGATGAAGGTGGGCTGCGGGAAGCAGACATGGGTAGGTGGTGTTGCTCGGGAACAACTTCACTCCTTGTGGGAGGAAAAATCAGAAAGTAACCTCTCTGTTCCTGCCTGTCAACCTGAAAATGCTCCTTCAACCCCTGAGGAAGACAAAGGAAACCTATTTGCCATGAGCCAGGCAAGGCTACAGGTTTAAACAAGCTCCTGGGTATTTGCCAACTAATTTACCCCTGTCCAACTATGGAGGGTCAACTGAAAGGAGAAGGCAAAGAAAAGTCTCCAGACTCTGTGGCTCCCTGTCTCCTACCTCTGAGCTGCTTCTTGTTTCCTTCCTGAAGAGCCAAACCAGCTCCTAAACCTGGGCATTTGCTAGATCTATCTCAGCTTCCCATTCCCTGATGGTTGCAGGCAAACCAAGCAGTAATTTAACATGTAGGATGTTTACTAACAGTGGAGAAATTCACACATCTTTTGGTGCTCCCCTCCAGTCCACACCTCAACACGTTCATTGCCTCTACAAAATAAAATCCCACGCACAACAAAATATCTCCTGCACTGTTCTCCCTTAACAGCCATCCTGCAGATCACAGCCCTTGAGAGCTGTGCTATCATCCACGAGGCAGAGGCTTGCAATCATCCCGTGTTTACTTGGCTTCAGCAGTGCCTCCCACACAGGCTGTGGTGGCCAGGGCAGGGGTCAGCACCAGAGGAGCCCTAAGTGCACTTAGAGGCTCGTGTGCTCTCCAGCCTCCTGAGGCAAAGGAGGAAGCAACTGCTCATTTTCTCCTTAGGACTTTTTGCCTTCAGGCACGGGCAAAAGGAAAGTACAGCCTTTTAAAATGTCTCCTGATACCCATCAGGGGTTTGCTTTCACTGTAACCTGGAATTTACTGTCTGCTTTTTCTTTTTTGTTCTTCAGAGGAAACCCTATGCTAAGGCAGCTGGGTGGGAAGGTGTCTTGCTGTTTTTGTTTTGACCGGAAAATGAGCGGATTTCTCTTTGAATGTAGGTTTCCAAAGCAAAGATGTGAATGTTGAGGTTTTTATTAATGAACTGACACCTCCTGTGAATGGCTTCTTCACCCTGGGGTGCTCACCTCCTGTTTTGTGGCAGGAAGAGCACTTGCAGCTGATGAAAGGCTGGGAAGATCCCTCTGGGACAGCTTAAGAGTGCCTTGGTTTGCCATATACAAAGGTTTACTTTAGGGCATTTGAAAAATGCCTCATTAGCAGTTGATGACTTAGCAGGGCAGCTCTTGTTTCCAAAACCTAGAGCTGCCCCTTGCCAGGAGCTCAGGGTGGCTCTTCTCGCCTGTCCCTTTCATTTTGGGTCCAGGCTCTTTCCCTGGGTGCAGCAGGTGATCCAAGTCCCCTCCAGTCAGCCCTCACTCACCCTATTGCAGTGTTTGCTTACTGGCTCTGCCTGCTTTGCCAAATACTCCATGTTTTAAGTGTCAGGATGGGTGTTTGACAGTCCCTGCCCTTCCTACCATTCCTCCTTCCCAACCCTGACACTTTGTGCTTGTCCTTTCTCACCTGCTACAGCCACCTTCCTTTGAGGCTGTCTTTACCTTGACTGATACTACAGCAAACCAGTAATTCCTGTGTAAAGTCTGGAGCAGGTGTGCAAGTATTTCAAGAACCTTTTTGATTACCTCTGGATTTGCTGCCTTTCTGTGCTCGCTGCCTGCTGTGCTGTGGCAGTTTCTCTTTCCAGGCACTGTGTGACTGTACAAGATGTTGGCATTAAGTGCAGCTTTCCTCTCATTTCTTCTGTAGCTTCTGATGTATCCATTGGAATCTGCTCAGTGTCTAAGCAGACTTTGTTTTTCAGTCAAATCCCTCTTATTATTGCTGCCTTTCATTCTGTGTCTTTTATTTGTCTGTCTGCTCTCCCTGTGTTGGAGAGGATGAGAATTTTTGTGGGTGCTTTGCTGTGCTCCACACAGGCAGCAGCCAGATGAGAGAGAAACCTGATTGTCCCTTGCTCCATGTTGCTCTCAGACACTCCTGTTTGCAGCACTCTGTGGTGCAGCAGCAGGTCTGTTGCCAGCTCCAGTGCCTGCCATCTTCTCCTCTGGGAGTCTTTGAGAGACTCCTATGTTTAGTCCTGTGCTGATGTTACCTGGGCTGCTTCCAAGAACAACACAGAACTGCTTCCTCTATTCCTAAAACTGACACAGAGAATGAAAACTACAGCAGGATTATTTTTAGTTCTGTAAAAGTGCAGCTAAAGCAGCATTGCTGGACTCTGCCTGGCCAGAATTTGCTGTTTCAAGATGTCCCTGGTAGGTGAGGAGTGTATGTGTGAGTGTGTGTGGTAGACAGTATTTTAAAGAGAATTTATCTGCTATTCCTTGAAGCTTGTGTTACAGTTTTGGATTGGGCCATCTATGCAAATAAGTCTGAAGTCCAAGATTAGTTTCCAGTAAATGTTCATCCTGAAACCACACAGTGAAGGAACAGGAAGAAAAGATCAGAGCCAAGCTGCACTTGCAGAGCTGGGTGTGTGCAAGGAGCTCCCAAGGAGCAGCAGTGCTGCAGTTTGAGACCACGGTGGGTTTGGCAGGGCTGGGAAGAGGTTCAAGAGCAGGAAGAGCTGCAGCTCCTGCCAGAGCTCTGGGCTGTGTCACACTGGGGACCAGAGGGACAAGCTTCCTGCCTGTTTGTGTTCAGTAGTTCTGTGCTCTGCACACAGCACGACACACCTGAACATTTCTGACACGCAGGACATCCTGTGTGCTGTACATGCTCAAGGTGTTTGTGTTAAACCATGAAATGCACGAGGACTTTTCCTGACAGTTCCCTGCCCTCTCACAGACACCTGCCTGCTCTTCCCTGTTGATTCACTGTCGGTGACCCGGTGCCCACAGTACCTCACAGTGATCTCTGTGATTTGAAAGAAAGGAAGGTACTTGTGTTCCTGACCCAAGAAATGCAACCCCCACTTTCTTGTTACCAGCATCTTTTGGCAGTGCTTTCCATATGGCACACTCCTGGGTTGTGTCCTTTGGGAATCCTGCCTGTTTCCTCAGTGAGCAGTGAGGGAGCAGTGCTGTGAACCTTGTGTGCTTCCTGCAAGTCCAAATGCCTCCCTTGCATGTCTGTACAGCTCAGCACTCAAAACCTTAGTGCTTTCTCTCGTAAAAGGAGTTGGTGGTGGAGTCACATCTGCTCTGAACTGATCCACAGACTAGCACTTAAATCCAGGAGGTTCTGCATCGAAGTGGCCACAGAGACAGGATTCATAAGCAAAACTCCATAGCGAGCAGTTGTGGAAATCGAACCACTCTTGATTAGAATTGCAAATATCCCACTTCTGTGTTGTTTTTACTGTTACCAAAATCCATCCTGTATCATTCAAATTCTACCATAACTGTCTGTGTTCTGTTGTCTCTACAAGCTGACACCGGTTCAAGCCTGCATAAATTCGGAGCTGAGCAGCCTCCCTTTGTATTGTCCTCAGCCTCTGCTGATTAGATCTTGTTTCACTGAAATGACTTGGTATTGTGCTTTGATAAGGTATTTATCAGCACAGTCAGGACCGGTTTGTTTACCTGATACTATCTAAGTGCTCTAATTCCAGCCAGCAGTCTAAAGTTCACAGGAGGGGAGATGATTTCAGGAAGATGGAGAATCAGGCTGGTGGTGATGAGTGCAGGGCATTCACGGTTGGCCACTCATTCAGCCACCAGGAAAAAAGCCTAAAAAGAATATAGGGAAGCACTAACCAGTTTGTTTTTCTGGCACCTCAGGATGAGATGACCTCAAGTTTGGGCCTTACCACAAAGAAGGCCCTCACGATCCTGAGAGACCAGTTGTCAGCACTGCTGGAGGGGCATCAGAAGGAACGGAAAAAAGTGACTTCATGGAAGGTGAGGGCACCAAGGTTGGGCACTCAGCCTCTCCTTCTCAAAGTAAAGCTGAGGGTTAAACAGAAGTTGGCTGTTTTCCATCCCAGAGTGCTGCTACAGAATGTCTGGGTGTAGAACTGCTAAAGTCCTTGGGAACAAAGCAAGAAATCTACCTAAGTGTGTGTTTCTGTCAGCACTTTTCTCCTGGATGCCAGAGCTTTAGCTTCACCTGTAAAGGATTTAAGGACTTCAAGAGCCTCTAAGGGCAGTGTCCATCTCAGGTGGAGATAAAGAGCTGTGAAGCTCAACAGTCTCCCTTGTCCACTGTGTTTGTCTGGTGTGTGTGTTGAATACAAAGTGCTGGTGTTTATGCACAGTACTTAGATGTTAAAAGTGTTCTGGGTCGGTCAGTGACATGGGCACAGCCTGGCACAGAAGTTTTTTCATTCTTCCAGGCAAGAGTAAAGCAGGAGTGTTCACCCAGACACCAGCTGAGCATCCATAGGTGCTGTAGGATTCACACAACTGATCAGGGTGTTCTGTGTCATGTTCAGGGGTTTGACAAAGTTGTGTTCACCCTGGAGCATCAGCTGCTGCTTTTTCAGACGTCTGGCTGTGTGTTCCATGAATGCTGACTGTCTGCTGCTCTCCTTTTGTAGGAGGTGTGGAGGAGCAGTTTTCTGTACCATGGTAACCGCTGCTCCTGTTTCCACTGGCCTGGTGCATCTCTGATGCTGCTGGCAGTGCTGCTGCTGCTGTGCTGCTATGGGAGCCAGCCACAGGGGAGGTGAGCAAAGCATCCTGTGCTGCTTAACTGAACCAAGGTGGTAGTTTTATATCATCTTCATACTGTGTGTGGTTGATTCTCTCCAGAAATCTAGACATCAACATACACTGGTAATTCTGTCCCTATCAGGCCCTTTCTCCAAACTTCAGCCAACTTAATTCTACTTCTAATAGACCCAGGGAATGTCCTGTGGAGAGACTGAAATTTTTTTTCTACGGCATTCCTAGATCTTTAAAAATCCTAAGGCATTATCATTGTTAGGAAGGATTTTAAAACTGGAGAAGTTATTGGCTCATGGTGGAAGTTACTGTGCTGTCGCATGCACCATAGCATGCCTTGACCATATTTGTAAAGGATTTTTAATTGAGATGAGTCCTCTCAGACCTCTCTGGTGTCATTTTTCTAAATAAGAAGTGTGACCATGTCTCCCCTGCATTTCATTTTTAGCCATAAGTCTGTGAGATGTAGGAACAAACAACCAGGCAGATGTGCGTTAATCTCTGTGGGTGTCTGGCAGTGGATCCTGCTCATTTACTCAAACCTCATCTGTTTTCTGCTCTCTTCTGTTTTGCTGTGTGAAGCCAAGGTGCTGAGATAGTCAATGCATTGGCACTCTTCCTCCTGCTCCTCTTGGATCTCCTCATGATCGGGCGTCAGGAGAGGCTGAAGTGCAGAGAGGTGGAGAGGAGACTTCAGACAATCGTTGATAAGATAAACGGTGAGGCCTTGTTCACCTGTCTCAATTGCACCTGTATTTTCCTCCCACTGAATTTTTCTCCAAACCTGATCACACACATTACTAATTAAGCTTGCTAACCTTCCCCTATGTTGCACAGAAACAGGCTGTGAGAATTGTGTTCCACTCATGCCTGTCCTGTAAAGTAGTTATTTTGAGCTGTCATGTGGCCGTGTGCTTCCAAGCTCTGTGTTACCAGGTGGGTGTCTGTTATGTCTGTGCTTTGGAGTAATTCGAATCCTCAGATTCTCACAAAAATATCTGCCTTGCAGCAGATGATGAGGGAAGAATACGTGGGGTTGTACCACAACATAGAGCAGAAGGAAATAAATTGCTGTGCATGAGCATCGTCTTAACGGGGGCTTTGGCGCCTGAGGGGGCAGTTCATTTTTCAGTTGTGGCAGTTTTAAGGACAGCCTTTAGCTTTTGCATTGTATAACTATGTGTTTAAGGCTATAAAATGACTGTTGTTAATACTGGGTGGAGAAAGAGGGGAAAAGCCATCAAGGAGAAAGAGAGGGATGATGAAAGATCATGGGAGTGGGCTGAGCTTAGCACTGGGAGAAAGTGCTTAGCACTGAGCTATAGCCACTACAGGATGTAAATGATTGTAAGACTGGTCCCTCCAGAATTGTTACCGCTTAATTCTTTCATGCTTTGTGTTTTCAGATACACTTGGCAAAGAGGTGAAATGGCCAGACTCCATGTACCCTGACCTTCACATGCCTTATGCCCCATCCTGGTCCCTTCACTGGGCCTACAGGGATGGGCATCTTGTCAACCTGCCCGTGAGCCTCTTGGTGGAAGGAGATGTCGTTGCTTTGAGGCCAGGCCAGGAGTCATTTGCTTCTCTGAGAGGGATTAAGGTAACTTGATTGTCTTATTTCCCTGGCCTGTAACAATATATTTCCCAGGATTTTCTTGCTAATGCTCTAATTCCCAGTGTACAGATTATTGGAGTGTTTGATTTCTTCTGACCTTGAAAATAGCTTGAAATTCCAGTTCAGTCAAGGACAGTGCTTTGTTAGCCAGACTGCATCTTCTCCATGAACTCCCAAACCCAACGGACAGGAGACACTAATGTGATACAAAAGCACCATATTTCCATCTCTGCCAGGTCAAGGGGAAATTGTAATGTGCTGCTAAATATAAGTGGAGTGAATCTATCCAGTAGGATAATATGACATACAAACCCCGTACTTTATCCTGCTTTTTATGTGGAGAATTTAAAGTTTGTCTGCTTTGACCTTCTCCTTACTACTGATTTATTATAAAAGAAGGTAATATAAAGTTCCTGGCGCAGTAATAAATTAGCAAATTGGTTACAATATCTATAGAAAGATTTTGCTGCTTGAAGAAGGTTGGAAAAAGTTTAAAGCTTGAGATTTACCCTTTTTGGTTTTTATTGTAACTTTCACTCCAAATGCCAATTTTCATGAAATAACCAGATGTGCTTGAACACAAGCCTTTGGGCTCTCTGACTTTTTCTCCTAGGATGATGAGCACATAGTTCTGGAGCCAGGAGATCTGTTTCCACCTTTCTCACCCCCACCCTCCCCAAGGGGAGAAGTGAAGAAGGGACCTCAGAACCCTCAGCTGTATCGTCTCTTCCGTGTCTTGAAGACCCCAATAATTGATAACGTCAGGTGGGTTTTGACAGTCATCCCTCATAGGGGGCTGAGCACAGCGTTCTGATCAGGAGGTTTATGTCCAAGGGAAGTGCAGGCTTAGGGTCTTGGTTGCTGAAATCTCAAGCTGGTTTCCATTTCTTAGGTGGTGTCTGGAAATGGCTTTGTCACGGCCTGTGACAGCCCTGGACAACGAGAGATTCACTGTGCAGTCAGTGATGCTGAAGTACGCTGTCCCCATTGTGCTGGTAGGTCTCATTTCAAGCCTTGTCCTTGAAAATAGCCATGTTTTGTCAATAAAGATGAAGAATTTGCAGCCATCAACAGGAAGCTGTGGCCAGGCCCTAATTCATGCAGCTGACTCTGTGTGTACCTTGGGCGGTTCAGAGAAGCAAAGATGCTGAGCCTTGTAACCATGAGAGAGGAGACAGGAACTGCAGCAGCAGATCAGATATATCTTCCAAACTTTCCCAGGGCTGAGCATGTTACAAGGCACTGAAAACTCCTTCCTTGCAAGTACTATTAGCTGACAGTGTCATCTCTGAATTGCAGGCTGGATTCCTGATCACCAACGCCGTGCGCTTCATTTTCAAAGCTCCTGGAATTGCTTCTTGGCAGTACACTCTTCTTCAGCTACAGGTAAAGGAGAGCTCTGAGCTCCACTACACCTCCCCAAAGCACCACTGAGACTGATTCCCTCTCTCAGCCACTTGCTTCATCATCTGGCAGCATCCTGTGCATGCTGGATCCAGGAGCATTCAGTGGAGCAGGACAACAGCTCTTCCCTGGCCATTCCTCCTAGACTGCCCTTTACATTTTTTTCTATCTCATTTGCCATATATGTATAGATATATGTGTGTATATATATTTGTATTACATATGGTATCCTTTACCTTTAAACTTATTAGAGTTTATGCCAAATTCAGCAGGAAAAGCAGGATTTATTCATGGCCTCCTCCATTCCATCTCTGTAAGGTGTGCTTTTCCCTGTGTGGCACTTCTTCTGGTCTCCTTCCTTCCTGCCCTGGCTTTTTTTACCTGTCCTCTCACCGTGGTGGAAAAGATGTCATGTGAGAGGTCTGACTTCTAGTTGTCTCTGGGTTTGTTGGTGATTACAGGTTGGGTTTTTTCAGGTGAATGGTGTCTTACCCATCCTTCCGTTGCTCTTTCCCGTCCTGTGGATTCTTGCTACAGCCTTTGGAGAAGCCAGAGTCTTGGCCCAGATGAGCAAGGCCTCATCCAACTCACTGGTAGGTATCTCTCCACACCAAACTGTTGCAGAGACAAGGGCAGGAGGTGAAAAGGCTCTATAAAGTGAGCACAATGAATTCAGAAGATTTGTCCACATGATTGTAAAACCTTGTTGGATCTTTGGTTGTACCAGCTGTGCCCTCTCCCTGGAGTACAATATTACTTCTTCTTGAACAGATGCTTTTATTTTTTCAACCTCTCTACAGATATCCCAAGGTGATAGGAAGCTCTGGAGATTCCATGAAACTCTTCAAGGCTTGTGCTTTCTATGAGATAAATAGAATTTGTCAGAGGGGTCAGCGTGGAGCTAAATAAGTGGTGGCTGTAACTTGGGATTGTTTAGCCACTGGGAAGGAATGGGATATGTGAGATCCTCTGTAATCCCCTGTTTTAATATGTGGGCTGAACAGCCCTTTCCTGAGACTCTGGGGTTTCACTTGCAGGCGTGGCATTTGCAGTAGGTCAGGGAGTGAGGGAAGTTTCTGGTGTTTGTGCTGATTTGGGGAGTGGAGTTTGCTGGTCTGATGGACTGTGATGCCTGTTGGGCGTCTCTTGTTCTGTCCTGGTGGCAAATGTTGGTAAGGTGCACTGAGCTATGTTTGTCTTCTGTGCTGATTTCTGTTACTTGGGCATAGTTTCTCTTTCCTTCTTGTCCTCCCTTGGCCTCTGTGGCCCTGGGTGTGTGTTTTCTGTTCTTTACCCTCTAGTTGTACATGACGAAGCTTCTGTGTCCTGGGAGGGAGAACACATACTACATCCCTCAGTGCCATTTCCACCTTAACCTTTTCTTCTCCACTTCTCCACTTTACCTTTCCTACCACTCTCAGCATCACTTGGTTTCTATCTTTGGAACCTTCCTTTTTCCCTTCACACCTTGTTATTTGGGAAAAGCCAGAGCTCCTTGGCTTCCTTACTTCATCTCAACATACCCATTTGCCCTGTCACTCATATTTCCACCTTCCTTGTGTTCTTTCCTGTCTTCTCCTTTTTCTTGTCCAGGCAACTCTCTCTGTCCAGCCATCTCTTTCTGTGACATCTCAAACATGATCCTCCATCCTGGCTGCTGCAGTACAGCTGTTGGGATGTGCCTTGGTCATTCACCCCCTGACTAAGGCAGTCTTGGCCTCTCTATTTCCCTCCTTCCTTCTCTCTTCTCTGTTCAAAATGTAGCAGGTAAGACTCTTTCCCTCTCCAAACACCTGGCCTGTGTGGCACTCTTCTCCCCTTCCTATCATGTTCAAGCTGTTTGATTCCCAATTTTTCCAGGCCATAGGTGACCCTTGACTGTTTGCAGGACACAAACCAGTGCCCCCCCAAACAAGCCCCTGCCTCAAGTTGCATTACTGCAGTTGAACTACAGAAACATTTCTTTTAGAAAGGAATTTGCTGCTGGTTTGAAAACATTTGTACTGCCTTTGATATGTTGTTTCAGTCATTATTTGCCTTCACTGCTAAAAAGGACGTTCTATTTTAGTGGGAATTTTTGCAGTATCTGATTTTCAGCCCTTGGAACATTTACATCTTTTGTCTCCTAGATTTACGAGCGTGTCAATCAAAATTCTGGTCCATTGTAACTGCTCACATTCCCTTTTACCATCTCTGGTTAAGTAAACAGTTTTAAGCACCTTGAGGCACTGTAAGCATATTTTCCAAACCTTTAATCTTTCTCTTGGCTTTCCTCTTAGCTTTCTCCAGTGTTTCAGGATCACTGTAGAATTATGAATCTCAAAACCCACAAAATATTCCAGTTACACTTGTGCTTGTGCTAAATTTCAGAATAATTTGGACTTTCTATTGTATATTCCCTTGTTTGTGCAACAAAGGATCATATTAGATTCTTTAGCCATTGCTTTAAAGGGCCAAGCTTTGTTCAGCTGCAGTTCCTGCTTTCTAAGAGTCCTCATCCTGTAAGTCCAACCTTCATTTTTGCACCTAAATATACAGCCTTAGTTTTGTGCCTGTTGGGATTCATGTTTTTGCTTATTACCCAAGCAGTCCATATTGTTCTGTAACAGTGATCTGTTCTCCTTATGTTGCACCCTGACCCAAACTTTATTATATAGTTTACAGTCTCTGTCAGTATTTTTTTTTTTTTTTTTTTTTTAGTTTTCTTTCAGGCTATTAACAAAATACCCAATTTTTCCCTGCTTGAGTTAGTAACACATACTAATGCAAATAATTTTTCTGTTCCATTTAGGGATAATCTGTTTCTAATATATCTAATAAGGGCCCTATTTCCCTGGTATTTTTGTTAGAAAACCAGTAAAGTATTTATCATCAAGTCAAAGTACCAGGTGGTTTATGTCAAAAGCATTGCTTTTATCAGTCAAATTTATAATTTTGTCCAAAAAAGATATCACAATAGTCTGATGAGATTTGCTGCTCATATACTTGTGATGTTTGGCACTGATTGTATTATTCCACTTCTTTTCTTTTAATTAAGTCTCATATTAGCTGCTCTGTTATTCTGTCTGAAATCAAAGTCTGTCTGGGGTCCTGTGGTAACTTGGATGGTTCTCCTTCCCTTTTTGGGCATTGGCACCACTTCCATTGAACTGGGACTCAATCCATAGTTCAAGCCTTGTGCAAAATCAGCAGTAACAGTCATTGTCCAGACCTGCTAATTTAAACATATTTACTTTCAGTAGCTAGTGTTGGAATGGAAAATATTTCATAGTTATCATATGGTATGATTATATCACTGAATAGGGAATAGCAATATTTATTTAACACGTCTGCCTTGCCTGCAATATCGTTTGCAATTTCACTGTCTTTAGCAAGCAGTGGACTGGTTTTAATTTACTAATGGTATACTTTTCCCTAGTTTTTATGTTATTTTTTATTTCTATTTTCACTTCCACTCACAACTGGATTCTTATTTTTACTATGGGATTGTTGCTTTTTAAAATTGTGACAAAATGTTCTTAAACAGTTCCTAATTATCCTTCATAGTTCTCAGTTTAAGTTATTTCTGACTAATTTCTCTTGGCTTTTTTCAGCTTTGTTAAATTGATCCTTTTTAAAGTGTCAGATATATGCATTATTATTTGGGCTGCTGTTTTATTTACATACAAGTGTAATTGCCATATCCACTTTTGATTATGAGTAGACCTAAACTTTTTCAAAATTATGTCTTCTGTGGAATTCCTTTGTGCTGGATGCACAAATCCTGAGTTAGTGAATGTCTCACTGTAATTCCAAGAGCCCCTTGGTAGTGCCCTGCTATAATTTCTCTTCACTTTCTGTCCACATCCCATTCATGTCACCTCATTCCTCTGTGTCCATCGTGTTCCAGGCTCCTGCTTTTCCAACCCCTTTTCCAGCTCCCTTCCTGTAACTGACCCATATAACTTAAAACCAGATCAGTCATTCCTGGCTCTTTCTGTCTAAAAATAACCATCCAGAAAAGAGCCTCCTCTGGGTCTAATTGCTATTATTTTCTCTGTAGACATTTAGGTAATGACTGTGTGTTCCTCTGTGATGTACAGCACCAAGCACTTGGCCTGTGCTTCACAAGTAGATAAAGACAGAGTCCATTAAAGATTTAATTGCTTTGATGAGTTATTGGTCTGCCTTGGTACAGCGATTCCCACAGAGCAGGACTCCTGATTTCTCCTCTCTGAAGGCACATACTGAGGGATGGATGTTCCTCATGACACATTTCTGAGCACAATTATAGTAACTGGTCTCTTCTCTTGCTGCAGCTTGCTAAGTTTTCAGAGGACACTCTCAGCAGCTACACAGAGATGGTATCTTCTCAGGTACTATTATTATGAATTGTTTTCTTCCATCTTCACTATGGAACTTCACTGGTATCCTTCCCCTTCCTCTCTGATCTCCTGCTCGTTCCTAGACCCTTTTGACTCGTGTCACTTGTCCATTGTCACTCATTTGTTGCTTTAATTTGCAATGCATGCAGGTTGCATGTCTTTCCCCTGCACCTTCCCATGTAAATGCTGCTCTGCTGACCAGAGATTGAGGTGACTTCAACACCGAGTCCAGTTGTGCTTTTCTGAATATTGCAAATGGTTTGAAATCAACGCTTTCTGTCCTGAAGACAGTGCCTCTTTCAAGTCCTGTTCCAGGAATAAAATAAACTTTTTATGGTGTGTGTCAGAAAGAAGGGAAGTATTTTGCTTATACTAGAAAAACCTCCTTTTTCAAGACAAAACTAAAAACCAGAGGGGGATGGTGGTCAGCAAGACCAAACATACAGAGGGGACCATGGGATGTTCAGGCTTTTTAAAAGTCTGATCCTGTTTCATAGGCTCCTTAAGCTTTAAGCACATTATTAGTGCTTCCAAAGCTGGGGCAATTAAACATATAGAAGACCTTTTTTCTGGTGAAGGAACTGCTGTGGCCACCCATAATTAAGGAACTGCTGTGGCCACCCATCATCCAGATTAAACAGGTGGGTAGATGAAAGACACTTCTCTGTCTAATCTGGAATTAAGATTCCCCTTTCCATAAGGAGGCAGATGGACTCCAGCAGTGATTAAGAATCCCTAGATATTATAAGAATCAATTTGTATCTCCTTGCTCCCAGTCACTCAGAGGAATGTACATAGGTGCACTCACATGTGCTTCCTTTGATGAATATTTTGTTGTCTTTCTGTGCCAGTTCATCATTTAGCTGAGATGTTTCTCAGGTGGTAAATGGGAGTGATTTGAGTTGACCTCATTGATAAGATTTGCTTCTTTTGTACCTGTGTAACATTTTTGCTCAGAAGAAACTGGTTTAAATAAGAGCTTTTTTTTTTTCTTCCTGGTGATAGCTCATGATTGTTTTGCATTTGAGCTGACTGCTGTACTAGCCCTTAGGATCCAAGGAACGTGATCTAAGGAGCTTTGGTGATGCAAAGCCCAAGACCTCAAACTCTTATAATCCAAAGGGATGAGTTACTTTAGGAAAAGATACTGGGAGGTAGCAACTGATTCACTTGAAATGAACTCACTTCAGAATTCCATTCTGGGTTTTTGGGTAGACAGAGGTAGTTTCAGTGAGTTCTCAATTCAACAATGGAACTGTCTGTTGGTGTTCTGTGGAAGGGGGAAGGAATGCTTTTCCCTTGGGAACATCAGCACTGTATCAGGTAACAGGTTCCCACAGAGACTGATGTTTATCTTGCAGTGTATCACTGTGTTGAAACTGAAAGCAGGTAATGTCATACTCCCTTTTTTCCTTCTCTCCCTTCATCTTTCACGGAATGAGTCTTTAATTGGCTGATGTCCTCTGCTTCCCTCGTCAGGAAATGATACGCTGTATCTGGAGTCACTTCCTCTGTGTTTTAAAAGGCAAATCCCCAACTCTGAGCTTCACTTCCAGCTTGCTCCACAGTCTGGGATCTGTCACTGTGAGTATTGCTGGGTTGTCAGAAAGAGGAGCTCTATGTGGATGCTTCATTTTCACTGTTCATGTCGTCCTTCCCTGAGCACAGACTGTTAGCAATCAGCTCACTGTGCTGGAATTAGAAACCCTTCAGGCACCTGTCTGTGTAGAAGAGTTTCTAACTGTCTTATCGTGTCCAAGCAGCACATTTACAGGCTAAAACAATGGTTAGAGATACTCTGTGACATCTGTCAGGCTCTCTGTGTTTTCCAGCTCTGGTTCTGGTCCCCTTACCTTCTTGACCCCTGTTCGAGAACCAGCTGGTTTGGGTCCTGGTAAGGTACTAGCTGGTGAAACAGGTTGAGTAGTTGCTTCCTTCCCTTGGTCTTCATGCCTAGTTTTGTAATATCCTGAGATAAAATTGGTGTTAAACTACCCATCAATCCTGTTAGAGCAAGGAATTCTTGGATTTCTTGGAGTCTTATTAGGTGCAGTTTCTTAAGACAGAAGGTTGGGGAAGAAGAGACTTGTCTGTCCTCCCATGTGTTTATTAAACTCATGATATTTACAGCTATGCCTGAGCACTGAGACACATTTTCACTGAGATTTTGCTTTTTTGGGGGTGTTGTGGGATGTTCCAGGTGCTCTGCTGTGTAGACAAGCAGGGGATTCTTTCGTGGCCAAACCCCAGCCCAGAGACTGTTCTGTTCTTCAGTGGGAAGGTGGAACCACCTCATGATAGCCATGAAGATCTGACTGATGAGCTCTCTACACGGTCCTTCTGCCATCCTGAGATGGAAGATGAGGTGAATGTGCCATAATTCTTTGCCTAAAATATGAAGAAGCAGCAAGGATGAGATCCTCTTGTACAGGAGTCCTGAAGCAGCAGGTGAATCAGCAGTGGCTGGGATTCAGCTGCTGAATCACTGTTTGTTTTGTTGGTCTCTTGCAGCCCCATGAAAGAGATGCTTTGCTCTCTGGGCCCTTGGCAGACACAGTCCACATGACCAATGAACAAGAGAGGAACAACTGGTCTAGTGATCCTCCAAAGCCTCCCGATGGCCTTGCCCACCGAAAGCCAAACAGCAGAAGCAAACACCCCTCTGGATCCAATGTGAGCTTTAGCAAGGACACGGAGGGTGGAGAGGAGGAGCACACTCAGGTAAGACATACTGGAGGGGCACACAAGTAGGCTTTTGTGGAGCTGTAAGAGACTCAAACCCATGGAGTTTCCACTTCTGGGGAATTTACCTGGGAATTCCTTGCAGGATTCTGGGCTCAAGCTGTATTCTCTGTAACCAACTGGAATTTCCCTGTCTGTTGGACCAGGTTGTTGGGGACAGCGAGGTGTTGGCTTGTGAGGCCGAAGACTTCGTGTGTGACTACCACCTGGAGATGCTGAGCCTGTCCCAAGACCAGCAGAACCCCTCCTGCATCCAGTTTGATGACTCCAACTGGCACATGCACCTGAATTCCCTGAAGCCCCTGGGCCTGAACGTGCTGCTCAACCTCTGCAACGCCAGCGTGACAGAGCGGCTGTGCCGCTTCTCCGACCACCTCTGCAACATCGCCCTCCAGGAAACACACAACGCTGTGCTGCCTGTCCACGTGCCCTGGGGCCTCTGTGAGCTTGCCAGGCTAATAGGTGAGGAGAAATTGGATGAGCAGACGCAGAGAAATCAGAGCTGTCAATAGACACTTAATCCTTAGAGAGCACAAGAATATTTCCCCGGTCCTGGCTGCTGAGAAGGTGGAAATACAGAGCTGACTCTGCTGTTGTTCAGTTGCCAAAAGAGTCTATTAAAGAGATTGCTTTTGGCAAGTTCTGACATTGTCAACACTATCAAAGGAATGAATGTCATCAAGGATATTGCCAGCCAGCCCTGGCTAGGCTTGGTATCCTTCTGGCCCGAGTCTGCCAATCTCATCAGGAGACAAAGAATACCTGCTAATGAACAGCTGTCTGCCCTGTCTTTACTGTAAGGCCTTACAGGGAGTTTGGGGATAAATGATGTGAGGTACCTCAGCTCATTTTATAGATTGGAAAACTAAGGCACAGGAGAGATAAGAGGTTAGAGGTAACACTAGGATTAAAATCTGAAAACTTGAACTCACTTCTGTGCCTGTCCTTCCATGTTACAGTTTCTCTCTTCAGTGAACCAGAAGCATGAACACTGTAATTACTAATAACATCCAGTTCTTCCGAATTTTTTTAACCACAGATCTTGAGCCATCTTTCTGTAGATGCACAGAGAGCACAGCTTACCTACCAGTTCCTGGAGAGATGTCAGAATGAGCACAGGCAAAGTGGGTGGCACAGAAGCAGGAGAAGGGACCTTTCTTTTTCTTTGGTTTGAGCCTAATTTTTCTCCTCCTTGTGTTCATGTTTCAGGTTTCACACCGGGTGCTAAAGATCTCTTCAAGCAGGAGAACTATTTGGCCTTGTACCGCCTGCCAAGTGATGAGATGGTTAAGGAAACAATCCTGGGGAAGCTTTCGTCCATCACCAAGAGGAGACCCCCCTTGAGCCACATGATTAACCTGTTTGTGAAGGACACCACTACCAGTAAGGCTGCTCCTTTCTTTGGGCATCCACTTGAAATGGGGGGATCTTTTCTGAAGAGAGCCTGGAAAATGTCATGCCGGAAGAGTCTGGAGTGGGGTGATAGCCCTGCTCTGCCCATGGCCAGCACAGATATGCTCAACAAACCTTAGTGATCAGCTGTGGCATACTGAGGGGGGGAATCCTTCCCAGCTTTGACTCACTCCAGAATCATAAATAATTTTTTAAAATTATCTTAGCACATAGTAGGCCTCATTTCTGGGACCAAGTGGTAGAGCAGAGCAAGGTGTGGGTTTATTGGCTTTTTAACAGACTTCATGATGGTAGTGAAACTGATACTGCACAGGGTTGAATATTACTCAGGGTTTTAGTTAGTGATGGCCATCCTTCTGATAACTCAAATCATAATCTTTGTGAGTTGTCTAGTGTATTATATTGCATGCTCCTGTATTGCATACTAATAAGAAATCTCATAAATCCCATGCAAACTCATAGTGACCATGAATACAACACCTGAAGCCACACTGACTTCTCCACTCCTTCTTCTACTTCCTATTCCTGTAGGAATGGGCTGGGATGGAAAGGATGTGCAGCTGGGCACTGTGAGGTCTTAAAGCACCCCAGCAAGATTTAACAGCTTGCCTCTCAGAGCTCTTAGGCTCTTTGTAATTCCTTAAATTGACTGAACTTGGCTCTCTGGAGCTGACATATGTTCAATATTGAATCTGAAATATGATCATTATGCTGGCCAGAGTTTTACCAGGTTAACTGTCTTCTCTTGCCTAATTCTGCTTAAATTTATATCTTTATCTGAAGAGGAACTTTTTAATTTGTTCTGATTGCTGCTATCTTGCCTTTGTGAACAGGAATTATTTTGATGCTGAGATTCTTAGTGTAGGGAAAAAACCTTTAATGTTGCCTCATTTCAACTCCTTATCCTCACTTTTAAACGGTTTAGTTTAGAGGCTGGAGCTCAGACGAATATGTGTGTGACCTGGATTATGCTGTCTAGAGTAAATTCTAAGAGGAATTTTGCCAGCTGGGGTTAGTTAACCACTGAACACCTCTCACACAATAGTCTTGTCACTTGAAGCTTTCTAAAATATTACCATTTTAGAACCAGAAATACTGGACTGGGCAGAAAACATTGGCTGAAATCAAATGGCTCTGCTTATGCAGAGGTCAGACCAGAGATCATAACTAACCTCTCTTGATACCTTATTTGTGAATAAATCTTTGAATCCACCCACTCCCACGACGGGCTGCAGTCAAAGGGAAATGCATAATAAATTCTACAGCTGTAGCAGAAATAGTAGGCAGATTATCTGTATGTTCCCTTGCCATTCCATTGAAATACGTGTCTCACCATCTGGCAGTGTTCATCCCAAATCCATAGTAACCACATGGAAATGAGGGGCTCACCGGCATCTTCCACCATCTCTGTCTCCCTTTGCTCGATTCCTCTTGCTCTCCTCACTGGCTCAGCTGGAGTGGTTTGGTCCTTCCTAACGAGTCCCAGCAGCCACGAATGGCTGGTCATACTCCCTGCCTCATTCATTAGTTTTTTCCCTTTTGCCAGAGAAATCCTGGCCTTCAAGTCCACGATTTGGGCAGGGAAGAGGCTGAGCTCACTTTACTGGCAATGAACTCCTTCTAGTTCATAATGTGTGCTGTCACTGCCACTTACTCCTTAGCAGGATTGTGGTGTGGGATGCTGATGGGATTGAATGGGAAGTGGATTGCAATTGCTGTCAGGCACGAACATGGGTACATCAGTGTGTGTGTGGTCATCTGCAAGCTCTGTCCAGGACATAGGTTCTGCATGGATCAATAAACATCTCTTGTTGCCTCTTTCCTAGCAAGGACTGTCTGACCTTAGGAGCAAGGTGGGAAGGATTAGGTGTTTATACAATAAAATTAACCAGAGCTCTGCACAAGTACTCCTTTGTGTCCCTGAGACAGGTTCCTTCTTTCACACACAGTCCCTATTCGTCTCGGAGGTTTGTTATGCTGATAAACTTGGCATGTGTTGACTATTTATAGCAGAAAGCAGAGAGCTGCTATGTTTTGGAAAATCCTCTGGTGTTCCTGAAGGTCCCTGCCTGGTTTGTGCAAGTGGATATTCTTGGCTCTTGATTTCAGCCAGTGTGAGCATTAGCAGTCAGCAACAATGCCTACAAGAAGCCTCTGGGCTCATTTTTCTTGGCAGTGATTTTTTTTTTTCATTAGCTCAGCTTTGAAGCTGTTGGGGGCAAAGTCACAGGGCAGCTGGAGGAGGGAACGTAGACAGAGAGGTCTGCGTGAGTGCAATGTTAATATGCTGATGCAAATGAGAGGGAGCAGGAGCTGTGGATGGGGGGGCAGCCCCACATCCCCTAACTGGTGTCCTGTGCCTGGGACCTGCATCAGACAAGTGATATCACACACCTTCAAGAAAAACTTTTTAACACCTCTGTCTACAAGAGGGAACAAGAGATTTAAAGTCTATATTAAAGAGTAAAGTAGGGAAAGAAAAAAAACCAGGACAAGCTGTGGTGTCCATTGATTTTTAGTTCTTCCCTAATCACAACATGAGTTACTTTTTTAGTGTCTGTTACGTTGAACTTTTGACTCATCCTCATTTAACACGTTTTCATGACCTTTTGTGAAACAGGCTGCTATCTGACAGGTCACACTGTCAAATTATCTTCTGCTGCTTGAATGAAAAGTATTCAAGAATAGCTCTTACCCTTCAGTTCTATGTCTGGCCTAAAAATGAATGCACTTTCCAGCGTAGGCTGACTTTGATCCCTGTAGGCTCATCACTGCTGCTTGTACTTTCTTCAGAAGAGGCTCTCAGGAATATCTCTCCTTCTGCTCTGTTGGATACAGGAGCAAGATATTATCACACCTTTGTAGGAGCAGGATTGATACACATTGTAACAGGAGAATAGGAAGGGACCACATGGCTCACATTTTATCGCAGCCTTGTTTGAACCCACAGTTAGACAAAGAGCAGCTGCAGGTGTATCATCATCCTTGAGCTATTTCTTAATGGAGACAGAAGACTTTAAGCAAAGGAAAGGGGATATCTGGGGTGCCTCAGAGCAGTTTGTGGGAACAATCACCTTTAACAAATAAGGGAGCAGTTGGTGTGAAATCTCTTTCCTGGAAGCCTGTATGTGTGATGCTGACTCATTGTTCTCCTGCACTTCAGGCACTGAGCAGATGTTTTCCCATGGGACAGCTGACATCATCCTCGAGGCCTGCACAGACTTTTGGGATGGCACAGATATCTACCCCCTCTCTGGCTCTGACAGGTGGGCATCTTCCTCATTTGGTACATTCAGGAGCTTCAGATAAATTACAGAGGAAACCTGGTCACTCTGCTAAAATTCCCTTTATGGTGCTTGTTAAGCTGTTTAAGAAGAGCTTCATGTAGGTTATGAACATGAGCTATCTCTGCTTATGATTAATTGTTATCATTACAATTATAAAAAGCAATTTAAGAGATTAGATAGCAACAAGCACTCAGTTGAACTGTAAGAGCAAGCAACTTCTTACTGTATCTGTTAAAGATATTGGCCTCTTGTAAGTGGGTTCTGACTGCACGATGCAGCAGGGCCATGAATTACAATCAGGTCATGCTGGTGGCAGAGAATTTTTTTGTTGTTGTTCAAGACTAGTGTCTTGTCTTAAATTAAATGCAAAATGATCAGTTCTGCCTGAGCCAATCTACATAATGCATCACACCCTTTGAGTCTTGCTGCAATATCTGATAGTGTCTGCTGCATTTCCATCTATAGGCTGAATCTCTGTCCCTGCTAGCAGAGCAAACCAGTAATGTTTAGTTTCACTGACTAGCAGCACATTGTTCTTCTAAGTCTCAGGTGTAAGAAAACTCCCACTGATCCTTTTTGGAATATTTATCATCTTAGAAGCCAATGAAAAATCAAATGTATAGTCTAATTTTTTACTTTTGTGTTTTCAGCTTAGAGAAAGAACTTTACCTCATTCTAGTGACTGAATCGTGACCAAACGGAAACTTCACTTACAGCTTCTGGGACCCAAACTCTGAAAGGGGATAGGAGAAAAGTCTGTTACTGCAATTATCTGTGCCATAGATACTATTGTCAGAGTTGTCAGTTCCCTCCTTGGTGTTTATGTCCCCACAGATAAATTATCTCTGATGAATTAAGCTTCTGCTGTCATGCAGGGAACTTCCTTGGAGTCACGTGGCAGCCATATAGAGCGTATCACATTAATAAGTGTACTGAAGGAGCACTGTGTTCATACTCATCAATCTGACCAGCAAACGTTCACCACTGCCCCTGATGGAATATGTGCTTTTGTTGTCCTGTAGTACCTGCAGCTTGGAGAATGCAGAAACAGTAGGGAAAGGCTTATTCAGACTCTGACCACTCCTCATGGAAGACATCTTTTCGAAAATACACGTAACTGCAGTGCACATTGTCAGGCACGTGGCACATTTTTGCTAATCTTGCCTGCTTTTTGTCTGTTCCACGTAGGAAGAAGGTGTTGGATTTCTACCAGCGAGCCTGCCTGTCAGGATACTGCTCTGCCTTTGCATACAAGCCAATGCATTGTGCCTTGTCCTCCCAGCTCAATGGGAAGTGCATAGAGCTGGTGCAGGTCCCGGGGCAGAGTGCTATCTTCACGTGCTGTGACCTCCCTGGGACAACCCCCATCAAACAGAGCAGCAGGAGGAATAGCTGGAGCTCAGATGGTATGTGTGTCCCCAGTCCTGTCTATACTAAGGTCTGCTGCTGGGCCAGGTGCTTGATCTGATCAGTCTAGAGCTGTAAGAACACTGTTATTCAGAGTAGCAGATGGAAATTGAGAAGGAAGGGTTTCTGAATTGCATTTCCAGAGGAAGTAGCGATGTAGCAGCTGGTAGGTGTATTTCTAGTTATGTTGTTGAAGCTTGCGGAGAAATTCTTCTCCTTGTGGGAAGTCTGTTTCTAAAGCTGGCTACTGAGAGTCAAGACTTGTGGCTATTTTGATACTTGGTTTGCTCTTTATCTAATTTTGTGGAAATCACATGTGTTGGGTTTTTCAAAGGAATGAAACGTGTGGTGGTATGTGACTATTCTCCCTTGATGGATTTTAATTCTGTGCTGAAGGAACTGATTCCCAGTAGATGAACTGTACATCTCGTTCAGAACAGCAGTGGAAACTGAGAAATAAGCACATACCATTACATAAAGCCAGGAGGCTCTTTTGGGAAGCCAGTCTTAATCTTTCTCTGCCTTGGTCCCCCATTCTGTAAAATGTGACTAGTGGGCTTTCCAACAGCTGGGGACAGCTGTGACTGAGTGTTTTCACAACACTTTCCAGTCCCACCTGTGGCAAGTTTTGTGACTGTGTGAAGTGTTTTATTATTTTGTTCCTCATGCTGCTTCCAGCTCCCACTCACTGCAGGCCAATGTGGTGATGGTGAAGGAACCCTGTCAACGAGCCTTTGCAGGGTCTCTGGGAGTGTCTGTGGTGTCATTGGAGGGGACATGATCCAGTTCCTTTGCATCAGCCCCTGGTGCTCTGATGCCACTCTGCCTCAACCAGACTCACCATGTTGTTTAAGCACAGTAGGATGTGTTTAAAATGCACATGTGAACATTATGCAGCACACACCCTTTACCTCTCTGCCCAAATTCCTCGTGACTGATCCCTGCCTTCTGTTTTGTCTTTTTCCTTTCCACACTTGCTGTTTCCCGCTTGTATTCTTGGTCACATATGTGGGGATGTCCCGAAACTGCTGCTGTGACTGGGTATGCTGGGACAAATGGATGTCTCCTTCCTCCCGTGTGTGTGTTTCTGCACGTTCCTGTGCCCTTGGGTGTCACCTCGGTGGCCTCCCCACCACATGTACTTTGTCTGATGTACATGTGGCCCCTCATGTCTCAATGTGATTGCGTGTTGTTTGCATGCCTGAAGAAGGGATTGGGGAAGTGATGGAGAAGGAAGACTGTATCCAGGCTCTGAGTGGACAGATCTTCATGGGAATGGTCTCATCTCAGTATCAGGCCCGTCTTGACATTGTCCGCCTCATTGATGGACTGGTCAATGCCTGCATCCGTTTTGTCTACTTCTCTCTGGAGGATGAGCTCAAAAGCAAGGTAAGCTGTCTCTGCTTAACCCCCTGAACTTGCATGGCCCCTGGTTGTCTGACTGGAGAGTTTAACTCCAGTGCAATCCAAGGTTAATCAGATTCAGCTCACTAACGAGCCCAGAAGGTACCTGGGCTCCAATATGGCATTGGTCTGCAGTACTCTGGCCTGGGCAGCCACACTAAAACCCTTTATCTGCTCACCCACAGGTGTTTGCTGAGAAGATGGGTCTGGAGACTGGCTGGAATTGCCACATATCCTTAACACCCAACGGTGACGTGCCTGGCTCAGAAATCCCTCCCTCCAGCCCCAGCCACGCTGGCTCCCTGCACGATGACCTGCACCAGGGTGAGAACTGCTCCGGGGCCACTTTGAATGCTGTGTGTTTCCTGGAGGGTTCTTTTAAACCCATTCATAGGTTCCTGTGTCTACACCAGACACCTGATCCTTCAGAGCTTTGAGCACAAAACTGGAAGGACCTGAGGTGTGAGCAAGAGCTCGTTACATTTATAGACTTTCTACCCAACCAGTACCACAGTTGTTGGAAACAGATAGCCAGCTGTGCACCAGCTGCCATGAATTTACAACTGCTCATCAGGGCTTTTGGTTCTTTTTGGGGCTCTGGTTAAGCCACTGAGAGTTTCTTGCCTGTGCATTACTTTTTTTTCTTACTTCAGGTGGGATTTCTTTACTTTCTTCCCCTAGAAGGACAGCAGAACAGATAAACTATCATGTCTTAAAAGAGCAGAGACTAGGCTCACATATCTACCTCTGAACAGATTAGTCATCTAAAAATACAGCATTTTAGATGACTGAGTGGGAGATCTAAGTGTTGCTAACCTAGAAAATCAGGCCTCACGTTTCCTGGCTTCTGCAGTGCCATGTGAATATCCCATGTGGGTGGCACAGGGGCGGCAGAGGCAGGTTGGTGCTTATTGTTTGTGCTGCTTCTCTCTGCTCCAGTTTCTCGAGATGACGTGGAGGGGCTTCTGCTCATGGAAGAGGAAGGGCACTCGGATCTCATCAGCTTTCAGCCAACAGACAGTGATATCCCCAGCTTCCTGGAGGACTGTAACAGGGTGAGGGCCCTTTCCCTGTGCACCTTGTACTCTTTGTCATGGTCAGCAGTATCACCTCATTACTCCCAAAGGGAATTCTTCAAAGCACATAGACTGGTTTACACTGGGACTCCTGATTTCCCCCAGCCTCTTCCAGCTTGGTATCTAGAGCCTGGGAAGTTTGGGATTCTCTCCCCTAGTCACTTCTGCTGAACAGCTCTTTGCTTTGGCATTTAGGAGTGGGGATTACCACACACAGAGTAGCCTTGAGAGCTGCATCTCATTTCCTCTGGGTCCCCTTCCCATGGGCTGGGCAGGGAGTGGGAACATCCTCACATTCCGTGCAGACAGAGGAAACTGTCTCTCCTCCAGCTGTGAGCCATGGCTGGTGCTGCCCAGTGGTCAGTGTGGGACAAGCTCTTCCTGCCTCATAAAAACCTCATGCTCAGCAGAGGTTAGAGGAATATCAGAGATAGATCCAAGTTAAAAAAAAAAAAATCTATTAGGTCTGGTTTCAGAAGGCAAGAACCCTTCTTCCCTTGCTGCAATGTTGATATGGCTGCAATTGAAATAGATCTTGTTGCTGGGAGACAGCACATGTGTCTGACTAGACTCTCCACACACGTAAAAAGCCTTAGAAATCCTTGAGCACAGTTTTGTCACACTAACCTTACAAACAAGCACAAACAGCTTGCATTTCAGTGTAGAACTTTTAACAAAACACCTTTGACAGTGGCTCGGGACAGCCAGTTCTATCTACAGGGACATGAATTTGTATCTGATCTAGCAGTTGCGTAGTTCTAGGAATCATCACTGCCATTTCAGCAGTTTGCTCTGAAATGCCTCTCCTTCACACACACACACTACTGCCCTGCTTAATCTCTCCTTTCTCTTTTCCAGGCCAAACTCCCTCGGGGGATCCACCAGGTGAGACCTCACCTGCAGAACATTGACAATGTGCCTTTGCTGGTGCCTCTCTTCACAGACTGCACCCCAGAGAGTAAGTGGCACAGAGTGTGAGTCCTGTGAATACCTTCCCCAGCTATTTGCTCTGGCTCATCCCAGTGTGCACACAGGTGAAGGGAAGGGGATGTGTTCCACAAGTCTATACTGGTATTAATGACCCTGTGGCTACCTGTAGGAAGCCAGGTGTTAACTTCATTTTAGTCCCCATTTACTGAATTGGGCTAAGAACCACTCCCTTCAATTTGCATTCGTAAGAGACACAAAAGCAAACATTCAAAATGCTACTGCCTTTTATTAAATAAGTATTATCAGTGCACCAGGAGACTTTGATCTCTGCTCACAACCCTCACTGCCTTATATAACTCAGAAATCACTTCCCAGAAGAATTTTCCCCTGGCAATTGCTGTTAACACCTTCTGCTGCTTTGCAGAGTTTTTGATTGCAGAAAACCAGAAAGGGCAAATTTTTTTCCCTCTCTGAGGCACTACATTGTCTAAGAAAGGGGCTGAGTGCTCTGCTGGCTAACACCTGCCCAGTCTCCAGCAAAAGTGTGACGCATCTTTATGATTTGGCATTTCAGAACCTCTGGCCACAGTTTATAGTGTACCAGTCACAGCCCACTTTGTGCCCAAATTTCCTCTCTCTTTTTGACAGAAGTGGCAGTTCCCCACTCAACCTAACCCCTCACTGGGCTGCAGATCTGTGTGCACCAGGCATTTAGATAAGTTGTTTACACAGGAATCTGTGGAGGGGAGACTTGAGGTTTTTTTGCCTGGAGCATTCCAGAAAATCTCTATATACGCAGAGCACTGTGCATGGAGCTACAGAATAAAAATCAGATCAAACAGCAGCTTTGATTTAGAGGCCCCGAGGGGTGTTGATAAACATATAGATGAAGGCTAGAGGTGGTGGTGGGTGGGAGTGCAGGAACAGGGACTGGCTCTGAGTATGGCTAAATGTGGCACTGCTTTTGGAGTGGTTTGCTATATTCCCTCTGTTCCTTTAGACTTGGAAGAACAGTAGTGACGTGCTGCTGAGCAGAGTTTGAAATGCTGTATTTATTTTAGGTTTATTTCATTTCTGCTGTTTTCTAACAAGAGTATTTGATGCTGAAGCTGTCTTATGCACCAGCTCTGGTCTGAAAGAAATGTGCTGGAGATGCAAATCTCTGGGTCAGAGTTCTGTGAACCACAGCTCTGTCCCTGCAGTGGCAGAGCACCTGGTCTGCAGTTAGTTACCTATCTTATTGGATATCTTTGTGGATCTCACTGTACATGACTGGCAGCTGGGGCAATTTTAAAAGATCTGTTATCCAGAGTGGAAGGAGTGTGTGAAACACTGCATCTTTGTGTGCATAATGACATGACACACTGTGTTCCTCCTTCTGTCCCTTGGCAGCCATGTGTGAGATGATCAAGATCATGCAGGAGTATGGGGAGGTGACTTGCTGTCTGGGAAGCTCTGCCAACCTTCGGAACAGCTGCCTCTTCCTGCAAAGTGATATCAGGTGGGGCAGGATCTATTCCTCCTCTGGCTGCCTTTGCCTTGATCTTAGTGAGTGCCCAGCCATGGGTCACACCACACCTGTAGATTGTGCAGGGGGATCCTCACAGTTTCTCTGTCCACTATTAGCTGCATTTGTCTCCATAAGGGAGGTCTGGATGGGATGACTACTTAGGTCATCCCTTGATGCAGAGAGATATTTTTTTCTGTCTTTGAAAGGAAGATACTCTCTTGCATGCTGGTCTGTTATGCCCCAACTGGCATTACAGATGCTTCCCATTGGGTGAAAGAGTGGAAATACCCCTCTGGATCAGCCAATTTGTTGACCTTGTGCCACAAACCCAAATATGTTGATTATTTCTTTAAGAATAACTGAAAGTTTAGGGGCATTGATTCTAAATTAATGTAATAGCTCCAGGCTTCTCTACAAGCAAGGTAGACAGAGGTAGCGTGGCACAACACACTGTGACTTTACAAGCTGAACTGCAGTGAAATGTGGTTTCTCCTCTGGGATGAGGACTCTGATGCTTCTGTGTTGTCCTTGCAGTATAGCACTGGACCCTCTCTACCCATCTCGCTGCTCCTGGGAGACCTTTGGCTATGCCACCAGCACCACCCTGACCAACGTCTCTGATGAGCTCACCCCCCTGCAGCTCTCAGGGCAGCTCAACAGCCTGCCCTGCTCCATGTCCTTCCGCCAAGAAGAGAGTACCAGCATCATCAGGCTGATAGAGCAGGTGAGCCAGGCACATCTCCTCTCCAGGACCCACAGGGAGCAGAGCCCAGGAGCTGACATGAGCATTCTCCTTGAGGTGCCCATAGAAAGCTTCCAGCACTAGGTTTTCTTGTGTCTCCTGTCCTTTGCTCGGAAAGCCCAACAGAGAGAGAATCTTCCTGCCTGGCTTTACTGGTTCAAGGTGTAGAGGATGGTTTGGGAATGGTGCCTTGTGGCAAAAGAACGTGATTATTGTTCACCTGGATGGAATGTAATCTTACAGAGATCCCTAGAGAGCCAGACAACAGTGCACGATTAGGGAGAAGTGTAACCCCAGAAAAGCCAGGAGTTTAAACAGATTTACCCCTTGGTAAAATTCTGCCTTTTTCTTCATAACCTCTACATCCAGGCAAGAGACGTTCCCTTTTTGCTTTCAATGTGTCCAGACCCTCTCCCTTCCCACTTCCCCTGCGGGCCACATGTCCTGCCCCTGCCTGCCAATAGCTGCTCCTGGCTGACAGCTGCTCCAGCACTTGGAGGGCTCTGAGGGCTTGTTCTTCCTTCCAGGCCAGGCATGCGACGTACGGGATCCGCAAGTGCTTCCTCTTCCTGCTGCAGTGCCAGCTGACCTTGGTTGTCATTCAGGTGAGTCCTGGCCTGGCTGGGGACAGCATTTAGCTCAGAGGACAGGAGTGTGAGCATGTATATAGGTGGCTGCAGTGGGGCAGCCTCGGGAGAGGAACGTGGCCTTCAGTCAGGTTTGGTGGAATTACAAATAGAGACTATGTGATCTCAGCCTGCCCCTTCTCCCTGACCCTCATGCAGGGGTTTCTTTTCAAACCCTTTTTCCCTGGAGAAAAGCACCCCCCTGCAACGTGTGGAGGGGCTGTGCAGTGGCAGCCTAGTTATCAGCTCAACCCAGTGTTTTGGGGGAAGTCAGGAGCATCTTGGGTAACAAGCCTCTCCTACCACTGCTCACACTCTTCACTCTGAATTGTTTCTGTCCAGTTCCTCTCCTGCCTGGTGCAGCTGCCCCCCATCCTCAGCACCACAGACATCGTGTGGCTCTCCTGTTTCTGCTACCCACTGCTCAGGTGAGTCTATCAGGGTGGAATCTCCTCCCACCCACGCACAGGATGCACAGACCAGTCCCTCAGCCTCACCATGTCCATGTTAAAAGAAAGCTGACTTCACACACAGCATGCCAAGAATGCTGCAAGGATTATTCCAAGCACCTGCCTTGACAAGGTGCTTGGAAACAGCCACAGGAGCATTTGTGTACTGCTGTGTTAACCCTGACAGCTGTGTGAGAGCTGCTGTTATCTTGGGGCTTGAACCTCCAGCTGAAAATCATCTAATCCTTCACTGGCTGGAGTATGATGGAGAGCCTGGGGTGCCAGGTGGAGGAAAGGTACCATGGGTGGATTTTTCCCCATCACACATTTAGAGGTCACCTCTCTCCCTGTCTACACCTACCATGAATAACACCTTTTACAGCATATGCTTAAGGCAGTGGCCAGATAACTGCTAATGGTTCAAGCAATCTGAGGAGGTTATTTGGGTTCAAATGATAGATACAGACAAAAATGGAATAGTTCTGGTGCCTGAACATGTTACTGAAAGACTAACTTACCTTTCTCCAGTATCTCGCTCCTGGGCAAGCCTCCTCACAGCTCTATCATGACCATGGCAACAGGAAAAAACTTGACTTCCATTCCCAAGAAGGTAGGTGGCCCGTCAGATTTTAGTTGTTCACACATTTTTCTGTTCTGTTTTGTCCCAGTGTTGATGCATAACTGAGGCCCTGTGCCTTTCCAGCTCGCTTGGTAAATTGATCCATGGCATGAGCCAGGAAGGGAATTCCTTAGTGCCAGCATACCCACAGGGCAGATCCACAGTGCAGCATCTCATCTGAACTACAGCTTGTCTTTTGCAGCCACCGATTCTCTGATGGTTCATGGAGAGGAGGTTGTGCCAGTGACATGCCCGTGTCATCCTCCTTCCTCTCCCTTATTCACAGACTCAGCACTACTTCCTGTTCTGCTTCCTGCTGAAATTCAGCCTGACCATCTGCTCCTGCCTCATCTGCTTTGGGTTCACACTGCATGAGTCCTGCAAAGAGGTGAACACCACCAGCCTCAATCTCACAGGCTGCTCCTCCATCATGCTGCACAGGTGAGGAACTGAGCCTGGCACACACCCTTCTTACTCTTGCCCTTCCAGGTAGAACTGATTCCCCTCTAACGAGCTTCAGCCTCTTCCCAGCTAAAATGGCTACACAGAGGGCTGGGTGCTCTCCCTATAGCCTTGACAATTGCATTGCTCACTGTCACCTCCTGGTACCAGAACAGCCTGACTCTGAGCTCACACTTAGTTCTCTCAGCTGTTAGAGAAGGACCTGGCCCTGGTGGGAACAGGTCAGACAGTAAGTCCCCACTGTTGACTTCTTTTCTGTGTCCTCTCATTCACTAGCAATGCTGATGGTGCTCCTGACTGGTTTGGGACGTTTTCCAACGCTCTTCTTGTAGCCCAGAAGCTCACAGCTGGCCTGATTGTTTTACACACAGGTAAATCCTAATTCCCAGAACACCATTTCCTACTCTGGGGAAAAACTTGCATCCTTTGCCTCCTTCTTTGCCCTTTGTCTGAGAGCACAAACTCCCTGGTAGAAGGAGACACTGCAGTGGCCTCTCAGCACAGACCCAGTCTCACTGTCATTGCCCTGACAGATTAAAAACAACACAGAGCTGATTCTGTTTCCTACCAGCCTGCTGAAGTGCTGATTCCTTTCCAGTCTCACCAGAAGAGCAGCATCCCTCTTTGCCTTCTTGCAAATCAGTAGCAGCACCTGTAGCTCTCCAAAAATGTTCCTTGCCTCAGAAGTCCTTATATCCCTGCTGCCATTTTGTGAAGCACCCCATTTCCATCCCCCAAAGAGCACTGGTACAAGCTGTGGCTGTTTGGGAGCTGGAAGCCTTTTTAAACCCTCTGGAGGGGCGTGGAGCCATGTCCTGCCTGACCCTCATCACCTGCACACCGTGGCCTGGCAGAGTAGGTCCAGCTGCTCCCTGACAACCCTAAAGGGTCTCTGCTCCCTGTCCGTGTCCTGTGGTGCTGTGTCTTGGTGCTGGGCAGAGCACTGGGTGTTGAGATGTGTAGGTGTCCAGGTGAGCAGAAATGCCTTCTGGTTTGAGAGGCAGCCCAACTTTGGAGAGAGGGAGTGGGCAGTACTGTTTTATGTCCCTCAGACCACTGAGGCAAGGCAGGGCTGCTTAGCCTGGCAGCAGTTTAAATGCTCATTCCTGTGCAGATAGGTCTGGGTCTCTGGCTAAATATGTCTCTGGGCTGGAACCTTCCTCTGGTGCAGGCCTGCAGTGACCCAGAAACAAAGGCACACCCACCCCTGACCCACTCCCCAGGTCTGGGCCTTTGCCTGCTCTGTTTTACCTCACCAGGCTGTGAACCAACCTCACAGGGAGTAACGCTGTGCAGGATGACCGCTGCTCCCCCCCACGTACCTGGGGACTTGGAATTGCTGTGGGGAGCCTGATCTGAAAGGGCCTTGAATGAAAGGGCCATAAGCCCCATATCCCTTTGGAGTTACAGCTGTTGGTGTGTGTTGTGAAGTGTCTGTGTGTGATGCCAATAACCCCCTTTTCCCTGCAGTGTTCATATCCATCACCCACGTCCATCGCACCAAACCCCTGTGGAAGAAGAGCCCCCTCTCCAACCGCTGGTGGACGCTCACTGTGGCTGTTGTGTGAGTATCCCCAGGCCCTGATGAGGCATTCCAGAATGCTGGAGCAAGCAGGGCTCTAGCTCAGCTCCAGCACCAGTTTGCTGGTGCTGAAGAGACAGCAATTGATATCCACTGCTGAACTGGTGAAGGGTCTCTGTTGTGAGCATTTCAGCCTGAACCCTGATCTGCAGATCCTGGGAAGCTTGTGAGCTCTGCTGAGGTTTGCTGTGTCTGTTTTTGATCTTAGATTGCTGGGGCAAGTGGCACAGACTGTGCTGGACCTGAAACTCTGGGAAAACCTCAATTCTTCTTTGACCTTTAACCATGTTTCCATCTCCCCGGTCTCATGGCTCCTGGGTTTTCTTTCCTTGGTCCTTGTGGTTATCATCAATGAGATTGTCAAGCTGCATGAAATCAGGTATGGGGGTAGTAAGGAAGATGAGGAGAAAGGGCTGGATTCTCACTCCAGCCTGGCCTTGAGCTGCAAAAAAAATCATGCCCAGGGAACAGGGTGGGGAATGAAAAGGAAAAGATGATTGCATTGTGTAAATCACCTGGTTATTGTGTTCCACCTCTCAGGGAGGAAGCACAGGGGAGGAAAGAGGGTCAGGGAAGGGCAGTGGCAGTGATTGGGAGCAGGAAGGGAGACCAAAATTTCCTTGTCTCAAACCAAAGAGAGGGAGACAGCCAAGGTCTATGAAATACCAATGTAGAATTGGAGGGGGCTGTTCTCTCCATCTTGTCCCATGAGGACAGAGAGGCATTGAATCCCAGCAGAGGAAACAGGCCTTCACACAGTGCCTGGACTGTGGGACTCGTTTTCAGGGGAAGTGGCTGAAGCCAAGAATTAGTAGCAGGCAGTGACTGGCTGTTCTCCCCAGCACAGGGAGCAGCCGGGGCTGGGAGTTAACGCTAATGAACGTTGACTCAGGAAATGGGCTGGTGAGGAAAAGCAGCAGGGATTACAGAGAACCCTGGTGGGGACAGAGACACCATCTCTGTTCCTGGGGAAGGGTTTCTGGACCTTTCTCTGCTGTGTCGGGTGTCCCTGGAGATGGGATTTGGCTGGATGGGGAAGGACTGAGACCGTGGGTTGCCTTCTGGTTGTGATTTCCCTCCCAGGCTACCACAGGGACCAGGCCAAGGGCTTCCCTGTTTCTTGGGACTGGCAGCTCAGGAATGGCAGTGGGACAGCCTTGCTTGCCTTTCACCTCTCCATATGCTGACTCTCTTCTTTGTTCTGCCTTCTCCAGGGTCCGGGTCCGTTACCAGAAGAGGCAGAAGCTGCAGTTTGAAACCAAGCTGGGGATGAATTCGCCATTTTAAATGCTCCCAGCTCACGTTCCCTGGAGCCAGGGCCAAACAGCCACATCCTGCACTGGGAGAGAGGCTGCACCAAAGGCTCAGGAAGCTTTCCCTCACACATGCAAACCAGACAGCCTCCTGGCAAAAGTACATCAGCACCTTCCCGGGGCCCCAGGCAGGGATCCCCCCCAGGTATGCAGCCCCTCCCCAGCCTGCCAGGGTACACTCACAGGAGCCTGCAAGCTCTGGTGCCTCTTCAGGCTGCTCTTCCTTTATTTATTTATTACTAGAGGTATTTGTTAGTATCATGGTGATGCTGAAATGAAGCTACTCCTTTCCTCTGTGTGAGCAAATGGGTTTCCTGGGCCTGGCAGGAGAATCTGGGGCCTGCAGGGGAGATGTAGGTCTGCTGAAGCAAGAGATCTCTATTGAAACCCGTTTTGTTTTCCCATCTCTGCCTGCTCTCCCTGTGTGCATGCCTGTGCATGCCCTCACCCGCCTCCCTGTCCCTGTGTCCTGGGGCAAAGGAGCCATCCCTCTTGCAGTTCCAGGAGTGCTGGGAGCCAGGTGGGGACTGGAGCTCCCATTCCTGAGGGGACAATGGGAAGGGTCTCTGGCAGGGCGCTGGGACAGCCAGGCTGGGCCAGGCCTGCCCTCTAGTGTTGTTGCTGTATCCTTATCCCGGCTGTTGAGTGCTTCAGAAGAGGGATGAGACACGGCTTTAGGAAAAGCTGCCCCCGTTTGACTGTCTGATCTGGTGCAGAGGGAATCAGGAGGGCAGCTCTGCCTGCCTGCAGGGAGCCAGCATGGCTCAGCTTCCTCCAGCCGTGTTGAACGAGCTTTTATCTGCTTTAACAACCCCAGAGAGGTTTATAACCGTTCTCCTGTTTGTGATCCGAATTGCTGTTCTGCTTCAGTAACATGCCTGCTTGAGAGAGCCACAGCCAGAGATAAAACCTGAGCCTGCCTATCCCACCCTGGAGGGAGGGGATGTCTTTCCTGGCAGGATATCTGCAACTTGCAGTTGTGACTAAGAGCTGGTGGATGGCTCCTTCCCCAGTCCCAGGACTGTGCTGCATCCAGTATGTTCTCTCCGAGGCACAGGGAAGCCCCCCCTCATCATGTCTTTCTGTGATAGTGCTGGGAAGTCTCTCCCCTCCATGCTAATGCCTTCACACAGAATCACAGGATGGTTTGGGTTGGAAGGGACTTCAAGGCTCATCTAGTTCCACCCCTCTGCCCATGGGCTGGGATGTCACAGACCAGGTTGCTCCAAGCCCTGTCCAGCCTGACCTTGGACACTTCCAGGGATGGGGCATCCACAACCTCCCTGGGCAACGTTTGTTCCCTGTTTTTCTGGAGGTCTCTTTGTTTGCCTGGGGGGACCCTCCCATGAGGGTTTGCTGCAAACCAGGATCTGTCCCAGTGCAGCACACCTGCTCTGAGCTCGGAACAGACCCCAGCTGTACTGGGAACACTGGTGCTGTTGTGGGCTGACAGACAAGGGCCACACAGGAGCACACAGGCTTGGCTACCAGAGTATTTGCAGCTCATGGAGATATTGCCTCTAGTTCTAAAAACTGACCAAACCTGGTAAATCCTGGCCCTGTTTTTGCTCCCAAGATTAACACTACAGTTGGCTGTTACTTCCCTGTTGGTACCAGGGGCTAACAAATGGTGGCTGGTCCCTCCTGGGCAGGCAGGGAGCTTGCTGGAACCCCCACACTCTGCCCTGCTGCTCCAGCTTGTCTTCCTCACTTTTCAGCATAACCAGAGAGCACAGACATGGCTTTGTGTCTCTAAGCAATACCCTCTCCCCACTGTGGGTCTGGTAGGGGAGCAAAGCTGGGTACAGGCAGTCCCTGAGCTCTGGGGACGCACGGGGGATGCTGGAGGGGAGCAGATGGGGCTGTTTGAGGCCTGGACCCTGTTCCTGCAGCTGGAGAGTGGATGTGGAGATCCCATGCTGTCAGGATTGCATGGGATAGGGAGCCAGCAGCTCACTGGCCACTCCTCTTGCAGCCTGGGTCTGAACTCTGCCCTCACTCCCCTGGCACTTGCAGAGCTGCCTGGCTCGGGGAGAACAAGCTGCGCCTTTCCCAGCCTCAGTTCACTAAATGCCAGCTCCAGATCTGTTACACCTGGCACCTGAGAAATCACCTTTTCTTCTTGATGCCAGGGTTGGATCACAGGTGTGGTATTATCTCCTCTGTGGCCGAGCTGAGCTGGAGGCAGAGGCAGCACAGAGCTGCTCACTGCTGTCCCTGCAGAGCAATTTTCCTCCCACCCAGACCTCAGCTCTTGCCCTGTGCCAGAACTGTCGTAGGTGATAAAAGGCAGCAGATTCCAGGGCTTCCTGCTGGCCACACCTTCCTCTAGAGGAGGCACCTCCAAGGGTTTCCTTCTCTGAGTGATCACAAATGTTTATTTTCCTGCATCCTCCTTCCCCTGCTAGACATGGAGGGAGCTGAGGCGTATGAATGGAGCCTCTTGGATGGTCTTGCCAATGCCACCCTTCCCTCAGCCACTAAGGTGTCCAAGGGTCAGGGTGCATGGCTTCAGAAGGAAATTTCCTACATCAAGATGTTTTTAAATGCTGTATGTTTTATATTAAATTTTTTGGGATGTATGTAAAAATATTTCATTTGTATTAAAACTTGTAAATTGTATTAAAAAAAAAAAGATAAACAAACCCAGACCCACATGCATCCAGTATATGAATGGCAATAAATGATTGTCTTGGATAACACACCCAGTGAGAGTGGGAACGAGTTTGCACTAGCAAAGGAAGGAGGTAAAAATGTGTGTGGCTGCTCAGGTCACAGGGTGTGAGTTTCCTGGCTCGCCTGTTGTAGGGACACAGCCCAAGCACTTGGATGCTCCTGGGACCTGATCTTGGCCTTTTTCCCACTTTCTGCTCAGCTTTGGACAAATCTGTGCAGCTCTGAACACCTCTTCCTACAGAATAAGTTTGCTTACCTGGTGCTTTCGTGGATCCCAGGCACTGCTTCAGTCGAGGCTGGTGGCACGGTTTGAATCCCTCGGGATGGATGGAAGGTCAGGGTGAGCTGGAATAGGCACTGGGAGCACTGGAGACATGAATGAGGAGGCCTGAGATGCTTGTCTTGAGCAAAGCAGGACCTGGGGTCACTGTCACCACACTCTTGACCATGCAGGAGGAGGAGGAATGCTCTGCCTGGCCGGTGGAGGGAGCTGAGGTGTTGGGATGTGCCCAGAGCTGGGCAGTGGGACACTGGGAGGTGGTGCTGGTCCCCGCTCTCACCACGTCACTGCCACGGTGGTGAAACTCAAACTGAACGTTAACCTTGCAGGACTCAGCAGGGGAGATTATCTGAGGAAACCCTGGAGCACTCAAGGGACAGGATAAAGCTGATCCTCCATGAACTTCAAACAGTAGGCGACAAGTTTGTGCAATTTGACACGAAGGACACAACTAGGCAAAACTATCAAAAGGGTAAAATATGCCCCACTGTTTAATAGAATTTAGTCTTAATGGATGTTAGTGGAAAACAAAACACATGATTAACGCAAACAGAGCAGATGGTTTAAAATCTGTTGTCAGTCTGGTGATTACATGGGCTATTTTTTCCCCTCACTGTCTCACTGCACGGAGCAGGTGCAGCTGGGGTCAGTTAGTCCCAGTTGCAGTGTACATAACTTACACACCATACAGTAGCTTCAAAATAGAGATCTAGAGCTTTTAAAAAATAGGCATTCTTCTGCAAAATCGAATGTTTAATTCCCTTATTGACAATGAGAGCAGCGTCGTGCTGCCCTCAGGTGGCTCAGACGGCGGCAGCTCCACCCCAGTGTCCTCTTATCCCTGACCCTACAGTCCAAGACTTGCAGTTCTGGTTAGTAAATATATATAATAAATCACATTTAAAATATATACATTGGCCTTTTAAAAAAAAACATTTACAGTTTATCAACACTGGAAAAAAAAACAACTGGGTTTGTCCCAGGTTGACTCACGAGAGTAAAAATCAGTTTTAAAAGGTTTCTGTGAACCTCTTGATAAAGTGCCACTGGTTGTAGCTATTTGAAAACATCATGTCCATGATGTGGCACTTGCCTGTCAGACATAGGCAGTGGATACACTGAGTGGGACAGAAATCAGAGACCAATTCATCAGGAGAGAAGTGTCTTAGAGCCTCACAGTGACCTCAAGTCCCAGCCAACAATAGGATTTTAGGTTTCTTCAGGACTTCTTTGTCTTTGCTTTTCAGCCCAGAAGCCAGGCTGGCATCTCTCACCTGCCCAGCCCACAGCACAACTGCCCTCAGGAGCAGAGACGCTTGGGATTGTCCAGTTGGGCTTTGCTCCCCTTCCCATGCAACAGGACAAGGGGCTGCAGACAGTCCAATTCAGCCACAAACTCCCAGAAGGATTGGGAAGCAAATTCCTCCTCAGCCACCTTCTCCCTTTCCAGTTTGGCTTTGCATTGGCGATTTTTTTTTTAGAAAAGAGGGGAATACGTGGATTTTTCTTTCCCTTTGTTTGGATTTTTTTTTTTGTAACAAATGGCACTTCAGCACAATCTTTCAGTTCCCTTCTGGTGCTCCGATGCTTTCATTTGCTTGGCATGCCGGGCGCGAGCCAAGTTCGGGGCTCTTGGACATATTTAGCCATGCACTACTGAGCAGATCCTGCGAGAGAGAAATCTGTCTCCGAGCGATGCAGCCGTTTCCTCCCGCCTGGATGCAGGGAGCTGTCTCTGCAGCCACGGGCTGTGGCCACATCCAGCGCACGGGAGCTGCTTCCCGAGCCGCATTCCCGCGGTGCACGCGGGGTCAGCTCTCCCGCCGGGCCTCGGTGCCGCGGGGAAGGATCGCGCCCGGCCCCGAACGCCGCTACTGTTCAACAATGCTGGCGGCGGCGTTTGTGCCAGCAGCTCCCTGCAGGGAGGGGGACTGGGAAAACGGGCTGTTTTCTCACAAAGAAAAGGGATAGGGGAGGGGGAAAAAAAGAAATTAAAAAACGTCAGCACGCTGCTACTTCGCTCTGGAAGGACCAGGGCGGGGGTTTGTGTAGGCACGGTGTTGGCAGAGGGCAAACTCCATTGAGCAGCACGATCCAGACGGACTGGCCCAAATCCCCAGGCCTTTGGTGCTGCCATCACCATCCTCATCGCTCTGGGAAGGGGCAGGAAGGCCCCCCATGTCCGGCAGGGCCATGACAGAACATCCGCTGCTTCGGAGGCTGTGCCAGCCCCATCCCGAGGGGGTTGTGGGTCCCGCCGGAGGGATTTCGATCCACTTGGATTACACGCTGCCTGATGCTGACGCATTTGGAAAGGCGGCAAATAAAGCAGAAAGGTTCCTTCTCGCTCCACAAGCTGCCAAATTGCGACAAGCCCTGTCTTCTTTTAGCTGCTGTCAGGCCTTGCCGGGGCTGGGACTGCTCAGTAAATCGCCAGCTCAGTGGCGGCTGCCCGGGGAGGTCTCTCCTGTGACACATTGTTGGCAGGGGATAAATAATAAGAGGCAAGGCTTGACAATGCAGTGGGGAAAGAGAAAGGTCCCTTGTGGAGGCTCCTCAGCTCTGTGCAAGGGAGCGAGGGCTTCTCCGTGGCCTCCAGGACCACATGTGCAGCCCCCTCTGGGCTCTCCTCCTGCTTCCAGTCTGGTGGGAAATGCTTGACCCCCTCGGAAACCGGCCCACAGCCACGCTGGCACGTGTGACACAGAGCCAGGGGTGAGCAAGGAGGGCAGCTGCGTTCCCAGCTGCAGTGCAAAGTGCGGGGAGGGAGCGGCTGGAGAGACCTGGTGGCGCTGCTCGGTGCCAGATCCGCTCCTCCCATGGCGAGGGGCACTGGCGGAGCAGCCGGAGGTGAGGAGGGGAAGGAGGGA